AAAAACTGGACAAGAAGGCCCTGGAAGGGCTGGATGCACGCACGGAGAGCACGAAAGTGCCCGATGAGGACATGGAGGAGTTCGTGGAGGGCCCGCCTTCCGACAAAAACCGGAACATGGAAGAGGCCCTCTGAGAAAGGCCAAGCAGGCCAAGAAAGCCTTGATCCACAAAGGGATCCTCACAAAGGAGGATGCAGAGAGGCTTTCTCCCTTAGAGGTCATGGATATGGTGGAGAGGTTCCGAAAGGGAAGCTCCACGTTGTCGGAGGTGCTGCTGCAGCAGCTGGAGGAGAACAAGAAGGAGGACCTCCTGGCCAAGCTCTTCGGCGAGCACACGGAGAGCCCGGACATGAAGGTGCCGGAGATCATGGACGAGCAGGTCCGGGAGGCCGACAAGATCCTGCTCGCCACCCAGGAGAAGTGCCCGTTTTGCAAGAAGGTGTTGGACGAGCTGCGCATCACGACCCCGCAGCACCGCACCTACATGAAGGAGCACCTCCAGTCCAGCTACTTGCTGGGCGATCCCGCCTCCATGAATGCCGAGGACGTGAAGGACTCGCGAGTGAGGCGATTCGGGGGCGGGCTTTAAGGAGCTCAGCTTGCAGAATGCCCTGGAGTACTGGGGCGATGTGGAGCGGCTGCCCACGTTGGTGAAGTCGATGCACCAGAAGAAGCCCATGCAGGTGGTAGTTTCCCTAAATTACTGTTCCCAAAATGGGGGAAATTTATATAGGGCCCCGTATTATAATGGGAACCCAAATGTAGGACCCCGTATTATAGGGAATTTAGACCAATCCCCAGGTGAAGTTTGGCAAGTCCGAGAAAGCCAAAACTCACGCGCTTTTGAAGGAGGAGGTGGCCAAGTACCACTTGGCCTGGGTGTGTTATGCCCCCACATCCGGGAGGTATCTGAATGCCACCTACACCCCGGGCCACCTGAAGTTGCACACCCAGCTCCAGAGGGACCCTTAGTTGGTTTTCCAGTCCCCCGAGCCCGAAGGAAGCTGGTGGCCTGTTGTCCTGCTCCAAAGGCCTACCGATGGCGACTATGAGGAGATTGCGGGCGTCGTGGCCACGGGGACCATCCTCATCATTTGTTGGTATCAGGTCCTGGAGGATGGCTTCTGGGTCTGGGTGATGACCATCGAAAATGTGGACGCCTGAGCCACAAAGCACTCCGAGGGGAATATCAAAGCAATCCCT